CCCCCCCCCCCGCTGTGTACAGTATTGCTAGATGTGTATTATGTTTGACTTTAAAATCTTATTTGCTATTATATTTATTATAATAATGGTGAAATATTTAAATTGTCCCATGTCATCTTCATTATTCAGTTCCTTTCAACAAAAATACAAAATGTGAATCAAGTTTTTTCGCAGATACATGTATGCGTCGCGTACCTATTTTTTCTTCTATTGACAACAGGTACGTTGGCTATATCCTCGTCTTTCTTGTTTAAATAAAGAGCTCTGACTCAACTGTGATTCTTTAGTCTCGCAAGTTATTTTCTTTGTACAAACACCCGCTTCTGTTTAATAGTTGTTTACGCTTTATTGATCTGATGCAATTTTTCTCCCTTTGTTTTGAGTGTAGCCATCTATTCTGTGTAGCACCTTATACAGTCAATGTATAATGAATACTCGCGTACGGTCTAAATAATATCGATAGGCACTTAATTGAATGCTGGTAATGCATAACATCAATTATATATTGCGTAGAATCGGCAAAGTTTTCTCAATATTTATGTCTGAAAATTAAAGTTTATATATTTGAAAACAACACTGTCTTGCTCCTTCCTACGTGCTACCCCTGTATAATAAATATACCGTGAAAATAATATCGGCACTCAATTGAATGCCTAGAGGCTAGAATCTCAAAGATTTTCGACTCAATATTTCATACGTCTGAAGTGTTTATACACTTGAAAAAAAGTCCTGTCTAGCTCCTTCCTAGCTCTGTATAATGTACCGTCTAAATAATATCGGCACTTAGTTAATTGGATGTCCGTAATGCATAACATCAATTTATATATTGCGTAGATTCTATATAAAGATTTACCCAATATTCACGTCTGAAATGTTTATACATTTGAAAACAACACTAGTGTCGCTCCTTCCTAGCATTTTGTCTCGCCATCGTGATCTGCGGCTTGATAGCGCATGCGCATTTGTGCTGCTAAAGGAAAAATCGGGTGTTCCGGGGTAAATATCCTTTACACAACATGAGAAGCGAATGTTATAAAACTTACAAAAAATTACAATAACGAAAACCATTCCTCGAAATTTTTGTGAACTTGGCAAAACGATAAATGAATATTTAAATAAGACAACTGAAATTGCCTAAATAACCTTCAAAGAAAGCACCGACTAAGTACGATAAATCACTACGAACATAAATCGTATACACCCCCCGGAAAGTTTACTGTATGACTAAATGACTGAATGACTGACTGATTCGTTTGAATTTTTCCCCCACTCATCACAATACTGTGAAGTTTCGAAGAAACTTCACACTAAAAAGGGCGAAAAGTCGAGGGAGGATTATTTTTCGGGAAAAGCCAAGCAACTCGATTGAGCGCAATCTCGAAACCAGAGACCGCAATCCTCTGTGGAGGCTTGCTGAGGCTCTGGGAAACATCGGCGACTTTTGCACGAAAATCAGTACATTTGGATGTTTCCCAGAGCCTCAGCAAGCCTCCACAGAGGATTGCGGGCTCTGGTTTCGAGATTGGATTGAGCGCACCAAATCATGGACATTTTAAAAATTAACAAACAACATTAGTCCCACGTTTTGTCGTGTACTGTTGACTGTCATTATTTCGAGGAACACGCGGGTTTGATTGAATCAATACTGGCAACTGTTCTTCATCAGTTTGGTTGTCAAATGCTGTCCTATTTTCATGTCTAGAATTTACTAAGATGGGTAGGCGGTCATCTCTATTGTCTGTTGGAGCTCTGGATACTTCAGCTATCTGTGTGATTCTGCGACGCGTCTTTCGTTTTTTACGAGGAGCTTCATTTGGCAACACGGGTCTCCCTTTTGACATACGAAACTGCACAATCAGACCAAGTATTGTTAAGGCGCCCCAAGCACCTGAAAGTATATAATCTAGAAGAAAGAGTTGAGTAATAATATTACAGGTATTTTGCTTCCCCCCAATCTCCCTGCTCCGTCTCCCCACAGTTTCAAGGTTGCGTTCCAATTTTAATTGCTCAAATAGGCCCTTTCAAGGTTAAGGACGCCATCTTGAATCTGTTGTTTTCACCGTTGTGTTTGCACCCCCTGCAAATTTACCTATCGGGAATTCTATTGTAGGCCTATTTGCACCCCTTGCACTATTGTGTTTCATTATGGCGTCATTAACCTGGGAAGGGTCTATTCTAAATTAATCATAATCATTTCCTCATAATGAAATCTGAAAATTGGTACACCTATGGCAGTTAGGTTGATGTAAGAATATTGATTATTGATTTATAATGTCTAGGTGATCATGAATTAAATGTATAAAATACCCATTTTCGAAAGTAGCGCAAAAATATCCGTTAGCCCGAACTGGAAAGGTGAAAGATAGATTGACAGAGTAACACGAATCTTGCGAATTTTGACTTATTGATTTAATATACATTTACTTAATTTTTCAAATTTGTGTTGAAAATGTTTGTGTTTGTGGGAAATGCATAGTAGGTGGCTTTCACCCTTACGATTTAGATCCGTATTTTCGGACAATTATACCACTTGATGAAAAGCAAAGAGGGCCCTATTTATGTAAAATAACATCTAAAGAGTTTGAATTTTTGCACAAAAGTTACAGAACTATGCAACGGCTATGGCAACAATGACGTTTCAATATGGCGGATATTTTTATTTAAAGTAATTCAACTTGAAAACGACATCGGTGACCCCCAATTTCTATTTCATAAAATGGTTTGTCTTAATTAGTATATTTAATTACTTCCATTTTAAAAATTCTGTTGAGCCGAAAAAAAATATTATGATTAATCACATTTACCTAACTTTAAAAGTTTTGAGTCAACAGAATTTTTTAAAATAGTCAAAATAATTCAATATGCTGGGAAAAATCATTTTATGAAATAAAATAGGGGGTCACCGATGTCGTTGTCGAACTATAAAATTACTTTAAAATCAAAATATCCGCCATATTGAAACGTAATTGTTGCCATAGCAACGATAGTTCTGTAACTTTCGTGCAAAAATTCAAAAGCTTTAGATATTGTTTTACACAAGTAAGGCACTCTTTGTTTTTCAACAATTGTCCAAAAATATTGTCATAAAATCAAAATCGTAAATTTTCCATTCTTTTTAAAAACTGTATTGAGCCACCTTGAGGTGGTCGATATATTAATCCTCACAAAATCTCTTCTACAAGATCGCCACAACCAGAGGCGCCGGAATATCGATAATTGCGGGGACAGATATTCATATATTCGTGTTCACAGACTGTAAAAACAATCGATTTCAAAAGAAATTAATTGGGCAGAACAGTGGCGTAACTCCTATGAGTTCTACCCGGTAAGAGCCGGGGGCACCCAGGCAAAAAGGCTTCCAGGGGGGGGCTGAACTGAGTTGTCCGGAGGCCTTGTTCATCTAAGGTTGTACGTGCTTAAGTACAGTGGCAAGCATTTCACTGTTTATGTCAAAAACAATTTCTGCATGGTGTTTTTTTCTGCATAGTTGTTTTTTTGTTGTTGTATATTTTGTTATATATTTATATTCCCAGTTCAAGATACCATTAAAATTCGATTCTAAACGACCATCAAAATGTTCATATTGTAAGAGCTTCATGGTACTTCAAAAGGATCTAGGATACCCCTGCCTTGGGGCACCCAATTCCGGTAGACCAGGGGCAGGCTGGTCCAAACTTACGCCCCTGGGGCAGAACACGAAAATATGAATATCTGCTCCCCCCCAATTATCGATATTCCGGCGCCCCTGGCCACAACGAAATTTTATGCTGTACGAACAAACCTGCGTGACCACTCGTGTCTGCGGGAATATCAACGAAAACTATTTTTTTGTAATTGTAAATATTTATTTTCACAGTAAACGAGAAATATAACATTAATGTAACTACATCTGTAACGAATATAGAAATAAACCTTTCCAGTGCATGAATTGCTGCTTATAGTACTTACCTTTTGACTGAAATGGTATGTCGTACTTAACAAAATCATCCACAGTGGCTTTCATAATAACATTGAGTATAATATACGTCATGGATGACTTCAGAAACACATCAATACCTACATATCAAAGCAGAGCGAATCAAATCAAATTCAAACAAATGAAGTAAACTCGTCAGGCAATTGTCACTGGAATTTATTTTCAAAATCAAAACTATGGAAATAGTATGGAAATAGTATGGATCTTAGTTGGAAATGGTATGGAAATCCAATTTTCATACTAATTTTAATTTCCATACTATGCATATTGTATGGAAATAGTATGGATATACTATGGATTTATAGTGAATTGCAAATAATTTTTCCAGTGATATAAGCACTAAATTAATCCCAATTTACATATATGATCAATAGACCTTTCCCCTTATAACCAAAATTTTGATCTACGCTAGTCTAGACAAATATTTCATCACAGCTTGAAAGAGCGTCACAAAATTAGTAATATTCCAAAGTTTCGTTGCGAAATGTTGTAAAATGAGGAAAATAGAGCCTTGCGAATTTTGCAATTTTCAGTCATTTTAGATTACAAACGGGAAATTGCAGCCCCAACACCCGAATCGGATGTCAATTTCCCGTTTGTAATACAAAATGACTGAAAAACGGCAAACTTTGCAAGGCTATATTATCTGCATTTTACAAGATTTTGCAACAAAACTTTGGAGTATTACTAATTTTGTGACGCTCTTTCAAGCTGTGATGAAATTTTTGTCTAGATCGAAATTTTAGTTATAAGGGGAAAGGTCCATTCCAATTCATAAATTTTGTTTGCCAAATTATATACAAAGCGAATTTAAATTTGAAAAATTTCAGAAACAGTTGTCAAAGAAAATTTGTCGAAAAACGAGCTTGTGTAATCCCTGCCCAGCATGCAAATGTAATCAATATAATATGTCCAAAAACAACACTAAGAACCCCGTGATCTCAAAGGGCGATGGGAAACAAAAACGTTTGGAGATTACCGAACCGGTGTTATTGCGTTTCCAAGCTACGCTGTTTATATTCATATCTCAAAGTTAACGTAAATACCATCAATATATATAATGCGTCAGAAATGTTTTTCGTATCAAATATTTCCATGATATCAAACAGAACACTATTGAAAGGTTGCATTAGCGACTGATAGCTGAAAGCAAACAGCTGAAATGGTACGGGCCTTTCAACCTCGTACCTAGGCTCTTCGCTGGAGGAACGACCCTGGTCCAGGCTATGGTCACGTGTCAGAGGAGGTCGGACAAGCAGGCCGCAAAGCATCATGGCTTCTGTGATCATGGGTTTGAGCGCCTAATTCCAGGCGTGGCTTCAATGACTCTTTGACTGTCGTGGAGTGAACATCTCTCTGAGTAAACAAATATGAAAGCATTCGAAAGACAAGATTGTCAGGCTGCGATACTTCGTGAAAATAGCATGTTATTGCTGTATTGTTGCGATCCTCATTATGACGTGTGAGTTACTATACCAACTTTACCTTATACTAAATTGCATGGGACGTGCTGTCTTTTTATAGCTTTATAAATAATCCGCGAAGGAATTGTGTTATTTCCAATAGCAAGGCTGTTCTTTTAAGTTGGATGGAATCTCCGTGTATCATCATCGTGAAAACATGCGCAGTATTTAAGGTTGGTATCCTACAATGCAATACAGTTGACTTGTTTCAAATTTCCGCTTTGCAGTTTTCAATATTGTACTGTAATTTTATAAATACACTGTACAAATTATGGCGTAATATTTCAAATATTAAATTCAACCCTTTAGTTTGACCCTATTCCTGATGAGTTTGCTAATGAAAACATTCAGCATATGCTTTTGGATTTCCATGTGGATCATATCAGTTGACAGCGAATACAATTGATGATGGACATTGGTTTTCAGATGAGTCTGAAGGTATTGTTATTTGTATGTATTTTATAAATTTTTGCTGAGTATGATGCCTGTTTGTATCTAGTTGTGGATGGTTGTTTAAATGTGCAAACTGTAGTTTAATATTTTTCAATTTTCATCTAAATATTGTTTGTGTGTTGTTCTATTATGGTTAGCACTATTTTCCATCCAGCAAATAACTGACCTGACGTCATTTTAGGAAGATAGAAGAGGTGTTAAATGGCTATGTAACTAACCTAAACCCTACCCCTACTTTAACCCCTAACCGCAACTCTAACCCTAACCGAATTAATAAAAAAGACTTTAGAAAATTGATAGGGCGGTTTGCTGGATGGAAAAAAGTGCTAATTGTGTAAAATTGCTAATTTTAGAGATGACGGTGCATGAAATATATAATAATTTTCTTGTTATGATTTTGTAGAAAGAGATTTACTTGAGTTGTTGGCTGGTCATGAGCCTGTTCAGGAAGGATATGATAATGAAAGAGGTGATAGGGTAGAAAGTGATGACAAGTTAAGTGATGAGGAGGAAGAAATCAACCAGGCTGTACCATTCAAGTGCATCTGTGGGAAAAGGCATACCTCACTCTTCATGAACAAGATAAACCAGTGAATGTAAGAATACGGCCAGAGCCATTGAATCCAAGGGACCCAAGTGCAATAGCAATTGATCTAGACTATGGAACTGGATGGCCCCATGTTGGTTATATATTGCTTCTGAACTATGCACTGTATCCAAACCCATTAATTGCTGCAAGAGATGTCGTGGATGTCTAATATGTTCAGCATATCAAGTATAGGATTGATTTTTTTAAAATAGGATTTTATCCAAAACATTTTGCAGAGACATGGTTAGTGCATGGGAGACTTAAGTGGTAGGAAAAGCATGAGTGTATGTTGACAGATGTTTTTTATATAAATAATAGCAACTAACTATGTTTAGCAAGTTATTGAAGTGCATTTATTTCAATTGGCTAACTTTTTAGATTTTTTCCAGCATTTTTTAAACAAACCATGGGTTATAAATGATAACTTTCTATATCTAATTAAAACAATCTGTCATGTACACTCATGCAAAATAAGTACATAACTGTAAAAATGTGCTTTAGTAAGTAAATAAGTAATTTATCCATGCATGTGACCTTCTTTGTTTGTAATTTTTCAGATTAAAATTAATGCAACAATAAAACAAGAAGATGTCTATTTATATAATTGCACAGGTCAATTCCTGGAGTAACCATCCCCCCGGGACACCCCTGGGAATTTGCCTAATAGACAGTTCACAGGGGTCGGGAATTTACCTGTCATATACGTGTACAGGGGCCGGGTATTGGGCCCGGGTACATGTACAGGGGCCGGGTATTGGGCCCGGGGATTTGACAAATGGTTTCACCTTTGCAAAACTTATTACCTGTGCCATGCGAATAAAGTTTTATAATATTCCATAGCAGCTTAATAGTATAATGTTATTAAATGAATATGCCTATGATATGCATTCATCGTCCCAGGGGTGGGGCATTTTCCACTCTCAGCTTGCCCAAGGGCCGTGCATTAGTCTCCTACTCCTAGTTGTGTCCCGGCACACTTCTTCTATTAACTGTGCACTATCGTAACCAGTCAAATCAAACGCCCAGGTGTGTTCCGGGGGGGGGGGGTGATGGTTACTCCTGGAATTGAGTCGTGCATAATATTTATTAAATTTCAATAAATTGACCACAATATAATAAAAATACAATAAAAACTTGTTTTATTGTTTTAAAACAAGTGGATCTCTCTGCTGGTTTGAAATGGGCTGTTATAACACTGAGTTGTCCATGATGAGGATTCCGTAGCTCGATTTGCAACAAAAAACCCAGGATCAGGCGATCAGCTCGTATGGGAATATGTACACGATCCAGTCGCGACAGCCAAAGACAGAAAAAACTTTGAAAATCGCACAGATATAAATTCTACAAAAATATTGAAACAACTCCTAAGTCTTCTAAATAATATTTTAACACTTTAACAAAAATTCGTTGAAAATATAATCTTTGATGGCGCAAATTCTTTCCAAGGTATTAGACACCATTTTAGCGAGCGTCGAGTTGACAATAGTCGCTTCAATGGCCAATATCTCGAAAACTGCCGGGGGATCACCGGGATCATTCCAGCAGATTTAAAGCTTATATATTTTTCTTGATGGCTGCCAAAAATGAGGAAAATCGAACCATGAGAATTCTAGATATTTCATTTTAAACATTGTAAACATATTTAGACTTGAGTCAACACGTCGCGGGGAGTCGTCTAACTTCAAACATCAAAATAACATTGAAAACAACGTTTACCTTAGAGATTTTTGCAGATATAACCAGATCTTTAGCAGTAGTACTATTACACTTGAAATTTTGCAAGAAAATTTTAATATTAATGTTTTTTCTCGATTTATTTTCCGTCGAATACAAATTTTTCTGCCCAAATTCTGCAGAAAACACGATGGAAAATACAGCGATCTCATTGGTCGAGAGCTCACGTGACAACTCGCTAATTGTTTTCCA